GATATGATCACTAACTTTTGGTCAACCGCAAACTTAATTTTCTGATGTAAAGTGGATGGAACTGCTCCTGCCGAATGTATCCACGGTCGCCCCAACAAGAAACTATAAGCTGATGTGATGTCCATAACCTGAAATGTTATGTCAAAGGTGCAAGGACCTATCTGGATCGGGATCTCAATATCCCCAACAACAGCGCTGCGAGCTCCATCGAAAGCTCTTACTATCACAGTACTAGGTCTCATATGGGACATATCAACGGGTAACTTCTCTAGCGTGGATCTTGGCATTATGTTTAAAGAAGATCCATTGTCCACAAGGACTTTTGCTATTAGGAARTTTTTACACTTAATTGAGATGTGGAGAGCTTTGGTATGTCCTGTACCCTCTGGTGGTATCTCCTCATCTGTAAAAGTGATGGAGCTAGCGGCTTATATTCCCCACAACGTTGCTCAAATTATCCACTGTGATATCTTGTGAAACGAAAGCCTGTTTCAAGGCCTCCAACAGTGCATTCCGATGCGCTTCAGAGGATAACAATAAAGATAATATAGAGATCTTTGCGGGTGTCCGACCTAATTGTTCAATAACTTTGTATTCACTTTGCTTCACTAGCTTCAGAATCTCTTGAGTCTCTTCCTCAGACATGGGTTGTTTAGGACTTACATCCTTTACAACAATTGCCTCCACCAGTTCATCATGGACATCCTCGTGGAGTTTGGCCTTCCCTTTCTTATCCTCTTCCACTTTCTCCTTCTTCTTCTCACTTGCTTTCTCTTTATTCTTTTCACTAGTAGTTTCATTCACGCACTTTAGCAGGCTATCCGGTGTATAACATCTCCCAGTTCGTGTCAAACCTCCCACTCCGGTAATATTGTCAATTGGGAGTGGAGGAGATGATACATCTTGCCCTACAGTTACCTTGCACTGATATTTCCAAGGCACTGCTTTGGAACTTTTATACTCGAAAGGAGCTGGGACCGTGATAGTGATTGGTTTCCGACTGCAGTTGGGTGCATTTGGCTTTTCACTGTAAAAGATGGTGAGACATTTTGGCTTAAGAGCATCACTTGAGCCTTCAGCAACTGAGACATCCTCCACGATATTTATCCCTTTCTTCTGGTGAGAATTTGCAACAGTAAGGATTTTTGAGTCTAACAACTCTTGAACTTTCATCCGGAAACTGTTGCATTGCTCTAGGGAGTGACCTTTTGCCCCAGCGTGGAACGGGCACGTCAGACTTTCATCATACCCTTTATACTTGAGGTTTGGGCATAGGTATTCCACTGATACATATCCACTACCCAAGAGAATTTCGAATAGTTCCACCATAGGGGTTCTAATATCGGCAACCTTACTCTTCGACTCGATCTCTTGGCATTCGATTGCATTTATTTGGACATTCTGATGATTCGGCAGCGGATTCTTACTTACATCAGGCCCATTTTCTTTTTTAAAGTTCAACCAACCTGCCTTGATCAAAGCTTGAACCCTGTATTTCAATGCAGTGCAGTTCTCTGTTGAATGCCCTATGGCTCCTGCGTGATAGTCACAACGAGCATTTGTATCATACCATCTTGGGTATGGAGGCTGGATCGGATCTACAGGTACAGGCGCCAGCTGATTATTTTGAAATAACTGAGGCAGAAGCTCAGTATAAGTCATGGGGATTGGGTCAAACTGGGTCTGTTTACGTGCCCCTCTATTAGTCTGTTGTTCTTGAGTATAGAGTGTATTATGCTGCTGACCCCTAGGTTGGAAATTTTGACTGGCTGGGGTAGGTTGGAAATTTTGACTGGCTGGGGGTCGAAAATTTTGGAAAGTATAAGGGGAGTAATGTGAAGTTGCATTATTCACAAATGGTTGATTATACCCGTATGGCGTTGGGTAATAATACGGAGTGTATCGCGGTGTCCGACTGTACGGTTGTTGCTTCCAAGAATGTCGGTCTGCTCCCACCATTTGCACCTCACCTTCCTTCTTCTTGGAATGACTTGCCTTCTTTGCAGCTAATGGCTCATCGACAGTACTGGTTATTCGCCCATGTCTAACCCCGTATTCAATTCTTTCTCCGATGGTCATAATATCAGAGAAATTTGTGGAAGCGTTTCCTATCATCCGATCATAGAAAGGATGTTTTAGGGTATTGATGAACATGGCAGATAGCTCCTTATCTGTTAAAGGAGGTTGGACTTGAGCTGCCGTGTCCCTCCACCTTTGAGCATACTCCTTAAAGCTCTCTGTACTCTTCTTCTCCATCCTCTGTAAATCTAAGCGATCTGGAGCCATGTCTATGTTATGCTTATATTGTTTTAGGAAGGAGTCGGCAAGATTCTTCCACGAGCCAACATTAGAGCTATCTAACTGCATGTACCAACGAGAGGCCGGACCAGATAAACTATCTTGAAAGCAGTGTATCAACAATTTGTCATTTTGGACGTACGCTGCCATCTTCCTACAGTACATTATAAGATGATTCTTAGGACAAGAAGAACCATCGTACTTCTCAAACTCTGGCACCTTGAATTTTGGAGGGATGACTAAACCAGACACCAAACACAATTGTGAGGCATCGATGTTGCCAAAAACGTATGTCCCCTCTATTGCTCTTAATCTTTCCTCAAGAACTTCGAACTTCTCGTTACTGGGGGCATTTTGTCCTACTAGGTCTGTCTTGGCTGGGAGACCACCTAGGTTAAGGACTGTAGGGGGTGACATCATTTGCTCGGGCTCTCGAAAAATGATGTTGGTTGGGATTTGCTGAGCTCCCTTAAAAAAGGTATGCGGATACTAACCAATCGGGAAGTCATACAGAGGGTTGTATGTTGTATATTGTGGCATGAAACCCTCTGCCACTGGCCTAAGGGGTGGACCGTACCCAGGGGGATAAGACGGGGTTTCTTGCGGCTCATGGATAGGGTTGCTAGATGTAGCAGGATCTGCAGTCGCTTTGCCGTTTTCCAACACGAGGAGGATGGCATCTAGCTTTTCTCGCAACTCCTCAATATCTTTCCTTGTTTTCTCCTGCTCGGCTTTTTAATCTTCCATCATTAATCTTGCCCTGTGTCTGGTACGGTAAGTGCGATGTGGTGCCAGTGAGCGAGCTATCTTGAACAATCCCTTTTGTTTTTTTTTAAAAAAATAGAAGACAAAAAGAAAGAGAAAGAAAACCATAAATAAATAAGTTCGTGACTTTATTATAAATTGGATAAATAAATAAATGATGATTACAAGAAAACAACAATTATGCCAAATTTGAACCCCAATGCTTAAATCATGGAATTGAAAGTACATTAAAGCAGAGTGTCAATAAAACTGTCCCCAATACTCTAGATCTCGTCGAAGTTTGCCCAAGAACTTGAGTGTGCTTTTGCCATTCGGCTGTGTAGGGGCAATGGCAGATGTGAGAGCTCGTGCCTCTTCAGCTAAACCATCTTCCCTACGGGCTGCCTGTCTGACTTGGGTGAGTACATGTTCTGAATTATGACGCAACAATGTGTTATCGCGCCTCACATGGTCTAATTCATACTCCACTTGGTTGTATTGTTCCTTGATATGGGCATAATCATGCATTAACCCATCAGCAGCATTCTGGGTTTTGTCGAGACGACTTGAAAGCGTCTGAACAGTTTCCCTTAATCTTTGATTTTCTTGAGCATACTGAGCTAACTGTACTTCTTTCTCCTCCAGCACATTGGCTTTTTCACGAAGGGACATGATTTCTGTTTGTAGAGAAGACATTTGTTGTGATATTTGATTGTCTCGCGCCCTTAAGGCTGCTTGTGAGCTCTCTTCGTACTTTTTTCTGTTAGGGTCCCGAACCTCTACTTCTAGCAGTCTGTTTTATTTCCCTTGGTAACCGACCTCCCTTCCTGCCTGCTGTAATTCCAGCTCAATGTTTCGAGGTAGATTTTGATTGAACCCTAGTTGTAGTCTTTCTTTAGCTGATGTGGGGTTCCCTTCTCGCAGCTCGTATTTTATCCTACGAACCTTCCGCTGACTGGATTGATTTGGGCTCATTTCAGAAAGAATTCTCCTAGTGGGAACCTCTAGCTTTCCTTTGCCTTTGTCGGTTGGTAGGAGAACCACAGTTTTTCCTCTACTCGAATGTCACTGTTCATATCCTTCAAATATATTATCGTGGTAATTGCCACTTTGGATTCTGATAATCGTCTTCCACGCCTTTACGACCTCCTGAATTTTGTT